GGCCAACTTTGGTGTTTTATTACTGCAGGAACTTTCTGTTTTCATTGCTCGAACCATCCATCCATCATCTATACACCGTTTAATCCTCACTAGGGTCACAGGGGGCTGGAGTCTATCCCAGCTGATTCAGGGTGAAGACAGGGGACAGAAAGATCCCGGGTGTCCTCATTGGGACGCGAACCGGCGACCTTGTTGCTAACCACCGAGCCACCTTGCGGCCCTCGAACCATAACCACAAATCCAAAATAAGAACAAATATTAGTTAGTATCTTTATGAGGAAACGGACAAGAACAATGGAGGGTTTGTGATGTTAGTCTGTGGAGTTGAACTTTATGTAGTCAGTGGTGATGCTAGAGAGAAGAAGACTGCTGCGTAGCGCTGGAAGAGGTGCTAATCGGGCCATTCCTGTGGTCAGAACACGGCTATCAAGTCCCTGCTTTGGAAAACGGCCTATAGTGCATGCTGGCAAAGTGATGCTGTGCAGAGGGACAGCCAGATTGTGGAGATCATTTAATTCCAACTATGGGGAGTAAAAATGTTCATTCTTCAGAAAGGAGCACATCCCACTGTTTTATTATTCTCACTGGAATACCAGTCCAGACACTCTCTTCTTTGGCGTCGCCATCAAATCACTTCAGGCAAAAAAAACACACATCCGCTCGTCCTTTGAAACACTGTCAGGCTTTTGTGTAACCCACCGAAACAGGCTTGACAAATGCAGGAGGGATTCTGAGTTTATTAGCGCAGATTGCTCTCTGACATGTTTGTAATATGGCTTATTACTGTCAAAGTGAGTCACCCGCAGATGGTCCCCGACACTTGTGCCCTCAGAAGTGTTTGGAAGCGGCGTTTGTCGGAGCCAATCGGCTTGTGTGCCTGCGAGGTTTCTAAAAGCTTTCCCTCCGTTTCATCACATCTCCCCCGAGAGCGCGTTGTGTGATGAAAAACTAAAAGGAATCAGGATGAGATTTCTCATAGTAACCAGAAACAGTCCATCAAAAACACATTAGCTTTGGAAAATCTCATCTCTGCACAAAACGCTGGATCGCCTGCTTCCAAACAAGTGCAGCTGCAGCAGCTGGTGGCAGGACGGAGTGTGTGTTTTCTTCGCTGTTGTGTGTGAATCTTTCATGACCACCCCGGTGCAGTGTTATGTAACAGCCTACTGTAGAACGTCCTGGTGCGTTACAGCAGCCATTACTAATTTACTATCTGGCTGAGGGGGAAAAGCCGGCTGAACTTCTAATTTTATACAGATCCCAGGACGCTTAGCTCACACAGGAAAACGCGAAGTCTTCCTGCTTTGAAAACCTTTTTCATGTTCTCTTATTTTATAGCTTAAGAAGTGTTTTTGGATTGCAGACCAGATGTTGGAGAAAATTAAAGAGAAAGATGAAAGTGTGACTCTCCTGCTTTTTGGTGTTGTGCATTCTACCTATTAGTTTGTGTGCTGTAACCCATTTACAAGTATTATTATATGCCAAAGCATCATTATTAACTTATTAAATGCTTTTACCACCATGTTTCCAATGTGATGGCTTAAAAGTCAGCTCAGCATTCCTTTCCGTTCATATATAACGTACAGAAATAAATGGAGAAGACAACCATACATATAAAAAATGCGCTGTAATAATGTAAGGTGTGCAGAAAACTTAAACTGTCGTAGTTACATAAGTGCATTTGTGCCCTTCCCCTGAATATTTCAACTTTGGCCACAATCACTTGTGCATCTTTTAGGCTAACAGCAAAGCCGTGGCCGTTTCTCTGCAGCTGTCGGGAAGCCGCGACAAGCTGTGTTTGTGTCCCCCGAGTCCCCACTGAGTGACTTACATCAGAAGGTGACGCACACATACAAATGTGTGAATCATCAGCCGCTCACTAAAGAAACACACCAGAAAACGCAGCCAAACGAGGAGTCTCAGTCGGAGGCTCAGATCTGGACCGAAGATAGAAAAGAAAACGGCACATCAAAGTCCTTTGGCCCTTTTTTTTATCAACTGGCTCTGGAAGGGCGAATGACACACACTGTTACTGTAGAGTGGAACGAGAGAGGGCTGGTGCAGGGTCTGTTTATGTCAGGCAGCGTATTTATACTTATTTATGGTTCACACAGCCAGAAAATAAACTAATTCTACCAGATTTGAAGGCATTATTCCACCAAAACAACCTGCATTAAAGCCGCCTCATGTCTCTCTTGAAATATAAAGGAATAAATACAAAGATCTCTATTATAAGATGTCATGGTTGAGGGTTTTTTTTTTAGGTTTGTTGTATGTTTTGGGCTTTATATTTGCGTCATATTAAGTTGCTTAAAAGAGAAACTTGGATTCGGATCCACCGCTGTTTGCAATCACTCGAGTCAAAAAGCAGTCATAGAAGTTGTTCCTCTAATTAACTGTGTGTATAATAAGATGAATATGTGTGATTTCCAACAGATTTATTAAGTGAGGCAGTTTTGATCTACTGTTGGGGACAAAGTTTGTTTGGATTTTAAACATGTTTTACCGATAATGATGTAAAATACACAGGCATGGAAATTAGAAGATAAACAGAAGGTGGATTGATGCGTGTATAGATGGACGGTGTGTAAATTAATGATTACAGTTCTGCTTTTATCACTTGTGTCATTCAGCAGCTGTTTTACAAATACTGACGATGCAAAAGGACAGAACTGGTTCAAACAGAACTTTTGTTGTTTTGCTGGTCATTGATTGAATTCATCATTAACAGTTCACACATGTAGCAGGTGGAATTTGTTGTTGTTGTTGTTTTACGAGGAATAACCCTTTACATTTGGGTAGAATTTGTTCATTTTTACAGTTTGGTAAAAATGTTGGTAAATTTTTAACTCATAATGAAAATTTGCTGCTTTTTACATTTGCATCTGCTGATTTTTAAAAAATAAAAATAGTTTTTACAAATGTGCTTGGGGGAACTTTCAGCGTTTTACATTTGTAAAGGGGAAATTTGTATAATTTTAGGTTTGTGTCAAGGATGTTTTTTGCAAATCAGGTGAAATTTCTAACTTTTTAAAGTTGTGTTGGGTAAAACTTGTAGAATTTTACATTTCTGTCATCTGAAATGTCAAAATCACTTCATTTGTGTGGTGGAATATGTGTAAGTTTACAGTACGTGTAAGTTTTCCAAAATGTGAGCATCTTTAACATTTGCCCCAGTTAAATTTGTGTCAGGTAAAATTATTTTTCATTTGTTCAAGACAAAATGCAGATTTTATTTTTTAACACTTTTTTTTTTTTTTTTTTAACAGGTGAAACTTCTAACATTTCACATTTATGTCGGGTGACATTTATTCTAATTTTTTACACTATCTGGGAAATTTCTGGCTTTTTACATGTGTGTCTATGTGAAGTGCTGAGGCACTACTCGGAGGGTTCTGCTCAGTTTTCTGTTGCTTGGATTGCACTTAATTAGTACATCACTCCTACGTGAATTAGATTTAAATAAAACAATAATATATATATAAAAATCGAAATAACAATTTAGAATTTAAGACAACCAATGCCATTAGCTGGAGTATTGCTTTAACCAATTAGAGATTTGGATTTTAAAGAAAGTGACACCCAAGTTAAAAAAAAGAGTTCCCTCTCAACACATTTTAGACACACAAACGTGTCAACTCAGTCGCAAAACCACCATCACTCAACTCCAGTTTTACCAGAGTAATCAAAATGTGGGCAAACCTGCATGAAGCAGCACAAAGTAAGCAGTGGCCAATTATATTTCAAGAAATGTAACCTCTCTGCTGCTCTGCAAACCTGCTGCTCTCTCCTCGCTCATCATTTGCTGCCACTGCCAAGTGCAGCAGGGAGCCAGAGCACGTTTTTGACAACTCACCGTGCTACTCTGCCCTCATCTGGGTCACCTGACAAGCTGACAGTGACTGGGCATCGGGGGACGGCGCCAAGCTATTACACCGCTGACCCCTCGCTTGGCTCTGTGCACCCAGACTCCCGGGTAGGTCGGGTGGGAGGCGAGGGAATGGATGAGGAAGGGCGAAGCGGGGTGCCAGGAGATGAGAAATGACTGAAAACCGGACACGAGAGACGTTTGACTGGGGACAACACTGTTGAGCGCGACTTGAGATGATGGATGGGAGTGTCAACTTGGGGGTCAGGTGTCTTCTTCCATTCATCAGCTCTGCCTGCCTTCTCTCCTCCCCTTTCCACACCCATTTCTATATGTACCGCACCTTCTTTTCTGCTCCTCGACATGCTTTCTTACACGCCCTTATATAGCTGCTGGACGCCCTGCTTCCCTTCAGCTCTCTTATAAATACCCCAGTGTAGTAATATGGCCAGGCCCTGTGTTGATGGGGAACTTCAGTGGGATTTGGGGGACTAGTTTTGGGCAAACAAGTTATAAAACTTACTCTGGCATGTCAGTTTCTTATGCTGTTGGTGTTGTCTTGTCAATTTTCTTCTTTAAAACATACGTCCACCAGCTTATGATTGATTCCATGCAGACACATTTCATGTACTTTGCATCTATTATTGGTTTTCACTCCATTAACACTTCATATCCACAATGCGCTCAAAATGATGCAATAAATGTTGATTTCTTGTGTTGACCCACATTCACACTTCGCTAACGTTATCTCAGGGCCTCAGATTTCTGATAAAGTGCATAACAAAGCCTGGTTAACTCAGACTGACTGACAAAAGTCTATCTTTCCTTATGATGGAGGTAAAAAGATGATTTTTGGTCATAAAAAAATAACCCACATTTTTGAAATGTGAGGTTTTCTGAAATGCTCTCAAATGACTGTAGTGCTTGTAGAAACATGAAGGACGTGATCGTTCTTTACACGAGGTCCTCGGGTGATGTTAGTCCAGTGTGAGTGGAGGTTTAATCATTTGTGTACAATGTCAGTGTGTAAGTTTGGACCTATTTTGTCTCCTGTGAAGGCCACTCCGATTTGTTGTAAACCTGGACGCTGTGACTATTGTGCTTTGCCCTAAAGCGTTACCTCTTCTTGCAGTTGATCGCAAGTCAAGCAGCAATTATCTTTCAGGTATGTCAAGGTCTGCCTCGTGTCTCAAGTGTTTCAAAGCTGGGCTGTGAAATACAGATTCTTCGGCTGCTGCTGCTGCTGCAGTATCTGCTGATTGTTCCACTTCTTCCTCTCCTTGACTGCAGTTTAGTTCTTAAAAAATGGAAAACATGCCTCACAGACCAATGAAGACTGAACTGCAGCAGCTTGGGCTGTGCCAGTTTAACTTGGCATTTGTAAAAGGAAAAGTAAGGGTATATTCTTGTAAGAGCCCCTGTCTAATCTATTAAACTCTAACACGTCCATCCATCCTCCCACTCATTCATCCATGCGACCACCAATGATCATAAAGGGCCACTTCACTTCACCCAAATCATGGAAAAATCATATTTTCTGATAGTTTGGCGCTGTGCTTTTGAGCGCCTGAAACTTCAGCCATCACCTCAGTACAGTGGAAATGAACTGCATTTTATTTGTGTTGCTAAAAGCTTTGAGAATTTACCTTTGTCTCCTAATGCATGGCTGAAATGAAAACAGTTGACAACAAGGACCGAGGAATTCAGTTGTTGAAGCTTTCGGCAGCACAAATAAAAGTGCATTCGGCTCCACTGTGCACTGAGGCTCAGAAATAGATTTCTGTAAAGAAATATTTGGCAGGAGAGGTAATAAAACATCCTTTAGCTCACTAATTAAGGAACTATCGTTAGTATAATCCATGAAAATAGATTAAAAAAAGACGTGTGAAAACTGGAATTCTTAAAGGACTGTATCTTTGCTGGTAGAAGTGACTTCCTGCAGTTTGGGCCGGTTGCCTCTGGAGACGGAACCGACGCCGTTTGCTTTGGTCGACATGTGAGAATATGTTTTTCTCTGATTTGGGAGAACCATGACTATAACCTTTTCCATTCGCTGCTGATATTCTAATCTAATCTAATCTAATCAAGGCCCCGAGTCCAATCACGAGCTACTGCGTCTCGACTCTTGAGACCGAAACGATAAAGACAGTGACGAGCAACACAGCACATACTATCCCACACTAGTCTAGAGCTACTTGTGCTGGTGCTTTGGGGAATCTGGTGGCTTCTGAATGTTCTCCATTTTGCAACGCTGCTTTGCGAGCTGCTACATAATGCTTTTGACTCACCTCATTTCAAGGGGCAAGCATCACTCTAGATCCTGCAATTAGAAGTGAGAACAAACGGAGAGTCATGTTGTGTGTGTGTTTCCAGGTAGCTGATCAGTGTGTGTGTGGGGAGAAGGAGACGTGTATGTTTACAGTCAACATGCATGTATGCAGCGGCTTTACTTTTTGCACAGTGTGAGCTCCTCTCCTTTCCACCACACCTGTCGCAGCGTCTCTTCCCCTCGACATAGTTGGCTCAAGTTCTGCCCCTCTTGTTCTTCTGGAAACCCTGCTGTCCGTCCTCCTCTCGCTCCGGCTATGAGGGCTGTCAATTGTTGGCTTCGGTTTCACTCAGATTTAGAAAGTGCAAGGCAGCAGTCCAACGCTTTCGCCTTTAAGGCCTTGGAGATGGACATGAAATGCCAAGGGTTTTGCTCGTGTAAATGAAACTAAAAGTATGTTTTTAATAGCGTCCTGGGATTAGGGAACGTCCTTCATGGGCAGATGATTGAATAACAGTCAGAGATAAAATCAGCGCACAAATGGTGCAAGTTTCACTCTATCTGCCTCTTGTCCCAACTCCCCCACCTCTCCCTGTCCCTCTGTGCAGCTCGCAGCTCAAGTTCTGGACGATCTGGACGACGAGGACATTGGATTCGGTCTGGTGGATGAAAAGAAGGACTCTGCTGTTGCCAAGAAGCTGGGTGAGACGCACACAGACGTTCAACTCTTTGGCTTCTTTGGACCAAATTCAAACACTTTTCTACAGCTAATAAACCACATCAGATCAGATATTTTACCCTGATTGGCCCGTTTGTGTCTGACAGGTGATCAATCAGCTTTGAATTCAGTTTAACAATTTAGGCAGCAAAGACAGAATCTGCTCATTGATTGTAGAATTTGATGTGTTTTGGAGTCACTTGCTCGTCCATGATCACCACTAAATGAATACATAACTGACTAATAAAACATTAAGGGACAAAAACTGTCACATATATCACCTCATGACAAGAAACAACCATTTGAATGGGATTTAAACTGTAAATGTCTACCAGGAAAAGGTTGATGTTTGAAACAACGCTGCCCTCGAGTGTTCACCAAACATATCGCAGCTGTTTCGTGACTGCTGATGAAAATAAAGGAAAACAAGGAAGCAACCACAAAGTTCTATGTGACATAAAATATAGGAGTAATACTATAGTTTGTAGCGATATACAGTTTGATAAACATACAAGGATTTTGCGGGAAAGGCTGTTAAAGTGCACACATGAGTTACGATTGTGTAACCAAACTTTCTGCGGTCAGGTCTGGACGAGGTGGAGAGCATTTACATCTTTGCCGACAACGAGATCATCGAGTACGATGGAGAGCTGGCCTCCGACACCCTGGTTGAGTTCCTCTACGATGTAAGTGGTTCGATTCAGACGATGTTTTGGTCAAAACTGATACAGACTGGTGACAAATTAAAAGTAAAAACCGATATAAAGTGTCTCGGTAAAGGAGGGAGGCGTGAGTTGAACCATTATGTGCTGCCAGAACAGCTTTAGGGCAGCTTGGCACTGATTCTCCAAGTCTCTGGAAAAATTCTTCCTTCGGTTGATGCTGCCTGACACTCAGGCTCTACGGACGGTTTCCTTTAACTTGTCACCTATCTGCACTGGAGGTGACTTAAATACTGCACAGCGTCACCTGCTTCAATTCAGTGGAAAAATGTCCGCCACATACTAGGACAGATGTCACTTTTGCTTCCTCCCACATTTATATATGCATCATCTCTGCCTCCTGTCAGGTCATCGAGGACCCAGTGGAGATCATCAACAACGAGCGCGAGCTGAAGGGTTTCTTCAACATCGACGAGGTTATCAAGCTGGTCGGCTTCTTCAAGAGCGAGAAGTCTCCTCGTAGGTTGAAGACGAGGATCTAAAGAGAGAGTTTCTCCTGTCTTTCTATACAGAACCACCTTTACGAGCTTTAAAAGAAAAAATGCTGTTTTTCTTTATTTTGTCCATCCAGATTTCATCGAGTACGACGATGCTGCAGAGGAGTTCCACCCATTCGTCAAGTTCTACGCCACTTTTGACCCCAAGGTTTGTTTTAGTGTTTGAGGAGCTAACATGAGTAGAGATGAAATACTTTAACCTTGTAACAATACAGACATTAATTTAAAATGATTATATTGGTGAGCTTGACCGCAAACTGAACGGATAGTTTTTGTTGCTCTGCGTTTGTTTTAAAATACGATGAACTCATGCTGTGCTGCTTCTTAAAATTCATTTTCTGTTTTCTCAGATTGCCAAGAGGCTGAAGCTGAAGATGAACGAAGTTGATTTCTACGAGCCGTTCATGGAGGAACCCGTCACCATCCCAGGAAAGCCCTACATCGAGTCTGAGCTCGTTGAATACATTGAGCAGCATGACAGGTGAGACGCTGTGGGAAACCTAAGACACTAATCCACCATCCACTGGTGATAAACCATTCTTAAGTCGGATCATTTACAGAATCTAATGCTAATAATATATAACCGCATCCTAAACACAGCTATCATATCATATCTATAGAGATGGCAAACATTCACACATAATATCTTGGGACAGATGTGTTCTGCAGGTACCTGGAGTATGACGATGTGATTTTTGACATTTGAATGTTTCAGGCCCACTCTGAGGAAGCTCGAGCCTCACAGCATGTACGAGATCTGGGTAAGAGAAGGAAAATGTGTCTAATTAATAAAAACCGAACCATTTGCATACATTTACTCAAGTGTGAGGTACACGTTACTTTCTACTTCCACTCTAGTCCTACAGTTCTTTGAAAAAGTACTATTTAGCTTACTGCATTGATTTGATCACTTTAGTTGTAGTTTAATAAGACAACAGAGGAAATAAGCAACATAATTTACTTTGTATATTGCAGATTAATTGATCCCTGGAGAGAAATTCACAGCCTCCAACTACACAGACTCGTTAAATCATCTTTACCAGCTTCACACTAAAGTTATTTAACACACATTTATTCTAATCCAATAATATACATCATTCTTAAATGTACCATTAAGAATACTTTGTCATCTGAGTAGCTCCGAGTACTTATTCTGCCTTCATCCATTTGACGATAATCTTATTTCTCTCCACCAAAGTTGAACTTCTTATTAATCAGTGCAGAGCAAAACTGGAGGAAATCTTGCCATTAAGGCCCTTTTTGTGTTCACAGGAGGATGATATCGATGGAGAGCACATTGTTGCCTTTGCTGAGGAGGACGACCCTGGTGAGCTTCTACCTCTTATAGCGTTCATATTATCTACACAGTTGGAAGATTGAGTGTGTAGCTACTGTTGGATACCTGGCCCATGACAACACCTGCCCTTTAAATCATTCCCTAGATGGTTACGAATTCCTGGAAATCCTGAAGGAGGTGGCACGTGAAAACACAGATAACCCCAACCTCAGCATCATCTGGATCGACCCCGATAACTTCCCCCTGGTACGAATGTTTCACACTTAAACTGCAAATCAGCTAGTGGGCAAATTATTGATGCTGTCTTTACGCAAACTGCTTATTCAAAGTCACAGTCAGTTAACAGAAGACTACTTGTGTTACTGTGTCAAGATATTTAACTGTGATCTCTAACCATGCCCTTCTTTCTGTCCGTTTCTCACCTTTAGCTGGTTCCATACTGGGAGAAAACCTTCCGCATCGACCTCTCGTCTCCTCAGATCGGTGTGGTTGATGTTGAGGACGTAAGAAAACTTGCGGTTGGCTGTCCGGTTCATAAATGTACCCTTCTGGCTCTCTAACTGGTGAACACAGTGGAGGAGACCAAAAACAGAGCTTCACTTAAGCAAACTCAAATGCAATGACATCACTCATAATCAAGACAAGAAACCAAAACAGCAAATTCCTCAAAACACACATTACAAAAAACACAAGTAACTCCTAAATTAAGTTGGACAGCTGCTAACTGGAGCTACAGTCTTCACCAAGACTCTGGTAACTCCCACACTAAGGCTGCGCTCAGACAGCAGGCTAAAGTGACCCAAATCCGTTTTTTTTTTTTTGCCCCTATGCGACCTGGATCTGATCTTTTCACGACAGTCTGAACAACACAGATACGATTTTTTCAAATCGTAGCCACTTGGATATGTGGTCCTAAATCCAACAGGGATCTGACTTTTTGCCATGTGACTTCTGTCTGAAAGGCGAGGTGGCATTTATCCGACCTACGCTTCACTGATACACAATGAACATCTCTGTACAGATGTTGCTGCCACTGCCCCATAAAACGCCATGGCTGAAAACCTCTTCCATTTTAGGCTTCTCATTAAAATGATTAAGTTGAAATGTGCTGGCTCTGGTTGGACAACAACTTTAAAATCACAAGATGCACTCCACCGTTACCATCCATGTTTACTTCCGTTAACACTGAGCACACTCACTGCGTGTGACGTAGTCGTGTCCTCTTCTACGCATGCGGGACACTTTTGGGTCGTATGAAGTTCACACAGGAGATCACATACGCATCGCATTTAGTCGGAAATGTGAACAAACTCGCAAAAAAATCTAAATTGAGCATCAAGTCCTGCAGTCTGAGTTGGCAGAAGTTACATTTGAACAAAGAAAACACAAAGACACACACCAAGAGGCACCAAGCTGTTCACATTAAATCCCAGCCACCCTGACTGTGAGGTTGGTTGTTGATTTACAATCCAGGTGTGTTGACTGATGCAGCTGGATTGGCTGAGGGTAGAGGGAACTGGGTGGTGGTCCAATCAGGAACGAGAACAAGCAGGTGTGGAGCTAATCAGCCACAATGACTGGCAGGTGGGGCTGAAGCAGGCTGTCCAGCACCAGCTACACCGGATTTCATGCCCCTCCTCTCCCATACAGAGGCCTCAAGGGATCCACCCCAACACTAGACAGCACAGCCACCAGGGACCATAACACCTGATCACAGAACTTTGCTTGAGAAGATTCTTTTTGTCCATGTAATAACTTAAGTTGCTGTGTGCATATTTTTGATCCAGCAGATTTTGTCATATTTCCAAAAGAATGATGCATGTGTTTCAATCGTTTTGTCATCAAAAATGAGGAGTTATGGAAAGCATTAGAAACCCAAAACTGCCCCGATATTTACAGTTGTGTGTTCGCAACTTACATTGCATTGTGTACATTTCCCCTAATTTCTTCAGTGGTGGTGGTGAGTGCAAAGGTAGCACGACATAATAGCCACACAAGTGGGAAATGTCTGACTACATCTATCAATGAAAACAATACACAACTATACATTGCACTATTAACCACACTTTCTCGTAGGGGAAATCAGCCACTGTTTCTTATCAGCTTCCAGTAGTGATGCAGTAGTTTTTTGTCATTTCGACAGTATTTGTGTGTCTGTTCTCGGCAGGCTGACAGCGTGTGGATGGAGATGGACGACGACGATGACATGCCTACAGCCGATGAGCTGGAACAGTGGATTGAAGACGTTCTGTCTGGAAAGATCGATCCAGACGATGACGATGACGACGACGACGACGACGACGATGACGATGACGATGATGATGATGACGATGATGACGACGACGACGACGATGATGATGATGACGATGATGATGATGATGACGATGATGATGATGACGACGACGATGATGATGACGACGACGACGATGACGATGATGATGATGACGACGATGATGATGACGATGATGATGATGACGACGATGATGATGACGACGATGATGATGACGATGATGATGACGATGATGACGACGACGATGACGAATAAATGTTTACTACCATCTTTCACTTCACAATGTTTTCGCCAGTAACGGCAAAACCCCAAAGTAGCTCCACCGTTTTTCTTACACCTTGCAGCGAACACACTTTGTGCCTGTTTGCTCTTTGTACGGTTTCCTATGAGGGACAAATGTAACGACCCGATGGGAAGCTTTCACTGCCAGTTAGGGAAGGAGATTTTCAGAGAAGCCGAGAATGTCTGTGTTCTCTGTTGATGAACAGGGTTGCAGCTTAACTTGTTAGTGTTATTTGTCCTTTGTGACTGTACAAAAATGTGCTCATCTCTCACCTCTGGCCTTCACAACGAACGTGAGCGAAGAGGTTGACGGACTCTCCTGACATTTTCTAGCCGATATCACAGACCTGGGTCCCCCCCTTTCTCATTTTCTCCAGTTTACTGTAAATCTGTTCCAATGACACATTTTCTACTTGATGAAGAGAAGAAACACTTTCTTGTACTTTTTTTTGTAAAAGTGAATAAACCTAAACTCACTAGACAGTCTTAAGATCATTACAGTCTTGGAAAAGTAATATACCGGATAATAAAAATTGCAAAACAAGTTGTTTCTGCTCTCATATTAAAAATGAAAGAAAAACCATTTTAAAACAATGCTATTTGTTGTTGTTGTCAGACTAAATATGATACCATGTGTATTTGTGTGTGTGTGTGTGTGTGTGTGTGTGTGTGTGTGTGTGTGTGT